ATGGCCCTTCAGCTAATTTTAGCACCAGTGAGCAGCAGCTTAGCACAGCTCAAAGGAGCAGGACTGAAAAAGCAGGAGCTCCAGGCACACGACACTGGCTCTGCGTGCCCTCACTGTGAGGTCTTCCTTACAACTGTGGGAACTCGAGATTCTGCTCTGAAATCTTGAAACTCATTTACCTTGCTGAATTCAGTAGCGCCGTGTGGGTATGCCAGCACTCAGATCAGACCCACCTGGCAGCAGGCAGGCAGAAAACACTGGAGTCAGTGGCCACGTCCAAGCTCCTGCCACATGTGAACTGACTCAAACTCTCATGAGCATTAAGTGGGGGCATGGAGACATGCAGGCTGGAGATGGAGGCTGGACTGAGTCCTAGCGAAAGAACACTTTTTTAATGATTTTTGTAACCTGAATAAATACTGTAACTTCCGTGAATTCCCATGCTCTTTCTCTCCACCCTATCTCAAAGACATCACACAGTTAGCAGCAGATTACTTGCTTTTGCCACATTGTATGTGTCCTGAAAAGGCAGTGGAGACAGAGCAGAGGGATGCTCCCTGCCATGAGGTGTTCCAAAAAGTGCTTCAAGAAAAATAATGGACTCCAGCTGATTATTATAACTGCTCTGTTAAAAGCAGACCTCACGATGGCCTGCATCCCACACTGTGGAGCAGCCTTCCTGCAGAGGCTGTGTCTTGGAGCAGCCAGGCTCATCATGCAGGAGAGGACCCCAGGTGTTCCCAGGAAGCTGCTGGCCTCACCACACTGCCCAGTGGGACACATCCAAGGCTGCATGACAGCTCACCCTGGCCAGGTGCTGGCAGAGGAGCAGTCAGGGTGCAGCAACAGTTGCCAGGTGCAGAGCCCAGCAGTCCTGCAACCTTCAGGAAGAGATGCTGGCTCTTTGTGTTTAATAACGCAGCAGATTTTTCTTCCATGAATTCATGCTGTTTAAATGCTTTACATCTGTCACATCCTGTGGCCAGAAGCTCTGCAGTTTAACTATACGTTGCACCAAGAACCACTTCCTTTTTGTTGTGTTAAACTTCCTTCAGGTAGTTTCAGCTGGAGCCCCTACTCCTGCGTCAGAGGAGACAGCGCACACTCCCTCCCTCCCTTTACGTGCCTGCCAGGACCACGTGGCTCTGTCTCACAGCCTCCCACCCATCCCTGCTCCCAGCCATGGAATTGTTCCTCACCCCGAGGCTGCTGCAGGGCTTTGGGCACTCACACTTCCTTTCCCTGCTCCATCTTTGTGACATAGAGGCAACAGGAAAGCCAGACGTGCACACATCCTCCTAAGCTGTTGGCAGTCATTTTGCTATTTCTCCTCTTTCTTGGAACATTCATTTTGGGGTGAAAATCTCAAATCAGGCATGTTTGGGCCAATGTTGCCTGCAGTGACGCAGGCTCTGGGCACACAGTGGTTTCTCCTGCAGAGGAAGGAGACCCTGCTGGCAGCCCCAGAGAGGGCATTGGCTGCAGCCCAGAGCACAGGCCAAGCACAGGGAGCCCTGTGAGGCCAGGAGCCAGGAAAATCTGCCTCCTGAGAGCCTGATAATGAGCAGAAAGAAAACATAGTTGTCGTTTTGCATCGAGGCTCCTAGGGGGAGCAAGGGCACACTGCGAGTGGCCTGCTTGGTGCTGCTGAACGTGAAGCTGCTGCTGGCTGGTGGGGCTGAGCTTTTTTGAGCCTCCCATCAGTTCTCTCTGTGCAAAGATACCTGGGGGCCAAATCTCTGGTGTGCTCCATGAGGAATCAGCACATTACCTGCTGTGGTGTGTGATGAGAGAAGGACACATCCCCTGCTACAAGCCCCCTTCCAAAACTGGGCATGCTGGTTTCCTATGCTATGGGGGTGGCTTGCACAACCCATTCCAGCCCAGGCAGGAGCCTGGGGATGCTGGAGAATCCTGGATGCCCCCAGGACTTGCCTTGGCCAAAAACAGCACTCAGAACTTGGCAGAGAGCTCAGAGGCCTTGAGGCTGATGGCTCTCCATCATCACAGCCTGGGAAGGAGGCCTGCAGCTGGCACACAGGCTGGTGACTCGAGGGGTGGAGAAGCTGGAACTGGTATCATCTAACAGGATTAATAATGGAGATGTCCCTTCTGACACTGCCATTGCCTTGTGGCTGGATGGGATGAAGTAATTTCTGCTCATGCAGCATTCTTGAGCTGGGTGCTGTCGCGTTGGCAGGAAACTCCATGTTGCTGGAAATGCCCATGTGGAAATGCCAAGCTCCTTGAGAAAGAGGAAGCCCAGAGGAAGGAGAAGCCCAGGAATCAGACTGTTCCCCTGTGGGCTTCCCCAATGGGCTTCCGCAGCCCATTGCACGGTGCCTACCCTGCCCTCCACCACGGGGCCTGGGACATCCTCACCGTGCTGTGAGCCTCAGAACACCAGTTAAGTTTCATGGGAAGAGTCTCTGCCCCCAGTAGTGAAACAAACACGCAGTGCTCCCTTTCAGGAGGGTTGCTGTTGTGCTCACTTGTGGCAGAGACTAAAGCCCCATCAAATCAAAGACACTCCCAGTTGCATCAGTGGAAAAAGGAATGGAGAGCTTGCTCACAAACTGGATTGGCAGCTTCAAAGGCTGATCTTGCCTTCCTCCCACCCTTTGTTCCTCCAATGAGCAACAGTAGCTATCTCCTGCAATGTGTGCACAGAGAGCAGCTATCGCCATGCCTGCAGAGCAGCCACTCCTGCAGGAACCTGCCCAGAGCAGCAGATAGTGATGGGACTCCAGAGGCGGCCAATCCCGAGGAAGGTGCATCCTGAGGGGACGTGCCTCTGCCCAGTTCCTCACGCCCTCACCTTGCACAGCAGAGCCACTTCACCCTGGTGAGGTGTGGACAGCAGGATGCCTGGCTGCTTCTTGAGGGCACCTGGAGGAGGCGGCTCCCTGGTGACCTGGCAGCTGCAGGAACTGCACAGCAGGCAGACACATCCTCCATGGCTGCAGAGCACCAGAACCCAGAAGCAGCTCAATGTGTGCAACCTTGATGGGCAGGGATGGGAGATCTTGCAAACCATGGCCCTTAGAAAATAAGCTATTTGCTACCTGGCTGCCAGTAAACTGTTCTCCTTCACCAGCAGAAACACCAGCATGAAAAGCAGCCACAAGCAGAAAAGGCTCCAAGTCAACAGCCTTGGAGGTTTTAGGGTAGGGAAAGCAATGCAAGGCAGCAAGGACGGGGAAGGGGAGAGGGAAGGGCCACAGAGGCTGGTAGACGTGAAGCCTCAGGCTGTAAATGTGGGACAGGAGATGTGAGATGCTGTAGACCTGGAGAGGGTGAGAGGAGCTGACGCTCCTTACACAAAGTAGATTTGTCTCGATGGTTGGGCTCGATAATCTTAGTTGTCTTTTCCAATCTCAACGGTTCTATGTTCTTCTTAGGAGGGTTGTTCTTTCCATTGGATTCACCGCAGTGGGGAAAGAAAAGTCCACGGGAATGAAGAGTGAAGCCCACAGCCTGGGAGGAAGTGTGAGGGGCAACAGTCTGAGCTGTCACTCCATCTCATGCTTCTTTTGCTGGACACCAGGGTGCGTGCTGTGGGGATGACAGTATGGAGGTGATGGCACAGGTAGAGCAGTGACAGCAATGTTCTGCCATTGCCAAAGAGATCTCCATGCAGAGCAGAGAAGGAATACATGGCACAGCTAAGCCAAAGACAAGCAAACCTTTGGCCCATAAGTAACCCCTTTAGAAATAAAGAGCTGGCTCTTAATTTATTCTGCATGGATCAAATTCTATCTCCTTATTTTTAGCCTCCGCTCTGCCTCGTGGTGGAGGCGGTGCCCCCCAGCACAGCCTGCAGCCTGCAGCTCCTTCCTGCAGCAACTGCTGCCTGTTGGAAGGCCCTCATATGGCGTGGGGGTAATTAGTGTGAGCGGTGTGCTTCCCTTCCGTGATGGACTTAGGCACAGGTTATATGGACTGGAAAGAGAAGAAAGAAATGGAATGACATGTACGTGGTTTTTCATGTGATGCTTATGCTAATGACCAGCCCAGATATGAAGTCCTGTGAAAATATTTGACTTTATGGCACTTGCCTCCTTGCCTTAGCACCTCAGCTTGGATCCCATGCTTCACTGCATGCATGAGTAACCGTGCTTGAGGCAAAGTCCACTTCCCAGATGTGCAGTGTGGGAGGAAGCTCTGTGATTAGGACGCACCTGCCACCGTATTCTTCAGCAGTTGGGTTTTTTTTTTCTGTGTGTTTTCACTTCCAACATGAATGGCTGATAGCAGTGTGGTCATGAAGCCCTTTCAAGACAGGAAAGAAATCCAAAGAACAGTAATAATGGAGAAGATTAAATAAAAGAAACACTGTTTTCCTGTGCAAATGTGCTGCTCTGAGAAGAACCCCTGCCTGTTGCATCTGGGCATACCGAGGGCTGCTGCACTTTGGGCCTGCTTTCTGAGCAAGCCCTGACTAACGAACAGCACATCTGCTGCGTTCCCACTGAGCCCCCTGACGGCTCCAGCTTCCAACTTCCAGCTACCTGAGCCTTAACCTTTTGTGCAATTGGGAAAATCCCTCTGATCTGGCCCATCAGCTGCAAACAGCTCTCCAGGAGTTGTTCAGTTTGGGCTGAGATGTTGGGAGGCTGCCCTCCCCTCTGGGTGCTCCTGCCGCAGCTGTGGGTGCAAGCAGAGCCGGTGGTGCGTGGGGGTGACCCTGGAGAAGCTGTGAGCAAAAACAGGCATGCACCGAGGTTGCAGAAACCAGGGAGCCCAGCAGGAGGAGGCAGTCCTGCCCTGCCACCTCCGCAGCGCTGCGCCCTTCTGCGTGCCTCCCCATGCCACGCTGCTGGATCACATGCCTGCAGGATCTAAGGCCACAAGGCTACAGCAGTCAGTGCCAACGGGGTGGAGAAGAGAGCAGGGCCCTTTAGATTGGCTTATGGAAACCTGGAAACACAAACAATTGTTCTAGACCAGCATGCACCTATTTGCTTTTCCTTGTAAACAGAGCCTGGCAGTGGCAGCCAGCCCGTTCCCATGCCTTCCTGACTCCTGGTGAGCCCTGGAGTGGTGACAGCATGGAGCTGTGCAGCCCCAGCTTGGGGTGGGATAGGAAGAGAACAGGGCTAGCGACACAGCAGGAAGGAAACTGCTCACACTGGGGAAAATCACTTGGCAGCACAGTGGTCTTGCAAGGAAATCACCCTAGCTGTGCTATCAAGCATCCGAAAATACTGGTTGGAATTGAAAACATGCCTGGGGGAACACCCACAGCATGACCCATCTGGGGAGGAGTAGACAGCCGGGAATGCTGCCCCACTGCCCTGGCTGCTGGGGCAAGGGACGTGCTGGGAGGAGAGCGCTGCCAGCCACGGTGTGACGCAGCACCGGGTGCTGATGGGAGCCAAAGTCAGTGACATACCTCCATGGCTTCGTTGGATGTGGTGGTAAGTGTGCCTGCCCAAGGATGGAGCCGGGAAGCTCCTGACACTGCTGAGATGCTGTCCCCAGGGGCACCTGGCCAGGCGTTCTGCTGCTCCAGAATGGACCTGGCTGAGGCTTGAGTCGCTGCTGCGGGGGAGAAAGAAAATCTGCATCCCTGCAGCCAGAGCCAGGTAAGGCCTTTGCTGCCAGCCCGTGTGGGTTGCTTGCACTCACAGCCCCATCCCCACGTGGCCATGTGTCTGCCCACTGTGCCCCTCTGTAAGCCCCTACGTGTGTCCTTTCATTGCGCCACTTCTGGATGCTCTGTGTCAGCCTGGAAAAATCCAGGTGCGGCTGTCACCTCCCTGTGGTTGGATGGGACGCGCTCGGGGGCGGCGGGAGTTGGCTGTGCATCAGCTGCTGCCGTCTCAATAGCTTGTTTACAAGGATGCAAATACTTCACAAGCGAAAAAACCTGCAGCCCAAAACGTCCGTGAGTCCCGGTGGCACCGCTTCGTCGGCTGTATTTGGACTTTTCATTTCTGCTTTCTCCGAACCCCTTTCTGCGGCTGAGCAGCAGGGCAGCGCCAGCAGAGCGGGTGCCCAGGCACCGCACCGGGCCGCGCCGGGCAACTCCAGCCTCGCACAGCCGGGAGCGAAGCTATAAACAAACAGCCGCGGAGCGCCGGGTCGTACAGCAGCGGGGAGCTCCGCACCGCCTCGAGCCAGCCGCAGCCGGGAACCCGCAGCCGGAGCTCCGCCGCCGCTGCGGGGCTGACCCGGCTTGGCGTTCGGGCACCGGCTGCAGGCGCGGTCTCCCCACCCCCGCCGCCGCTCCTCTCTTATCAGACCCGGGGGGGGCATCTGCGGGCGGTGCGGAGCCGCCGCCGCCGCGCTCCTCCTCGCCGCTCCCCCGGGCGTTGCGGGCGGGCCCCGGCCGGACCCTGTCCCCTCTCGCCGGGGGCCGCCCAGTCCCTCCCGCAGCGCGCTGTCATTGACCTCCCCCCGCTGCGGCTGCGCGGCCGCGGCTCCCGGCGCCGGCCCTGCAGGTAAGAGAGGGGTCGGGCCCGGGCAGGGGGGTCTCGGGCACCGGGGCACTGCGGGGTGGGAGCTGGGGCCCGGCAGCCCCTGCCCTCCCCCGGGTGCAGCTCTCCTGCGGGGATGCTCGGAGGCTGCAGCGTAGCGCCGATCTGCAGGCAGGCCGAGGGGAGAGCCGGGGAATCAAACCTGCTGTCAGAACGGCTCCTTTTCAGTTTTGTTATTTCTCCGCCGTTTCAGATGGGGGCGCAAAGAGGTTTCCTAGCCTGGGAGCCGCTCCTGGAGCATGGGAGCGCGGGGGTCCCCATATCGGCACTGGGACCGGTGGCACTCAGTGCTTGGTTCCTCGAGCTGCAGCCAGTGAGGAGTGGGGCAGAGCTGCGCAGCGCGGTGGGTCCAGAGAGCACGGCAGCACCCTGAGCCCTGCCTTCCCCTCGGTCCCTGCATTTGTGTGCCCCTCTGCCGTGCAGAGCTTGAAGCACTTCCAGCCACGGCCCCAATCATCTGCTTGTCTCTGGGATACATCCCACTGTCTGGGGACCTCCGAGGCACCCAGTAGAGCGCAGAACAGTGTCCTGTGGCAGCCACAGATACGTAGGGGGTTGGGATGACAGCTAGCAGGGTAGAGTTCTCCTATAAAGCAAGCAGAGGCGCTGTGCCTGCTGTCTTAGCGCATGTATTTGTGTTCTTGTCAAGCCTAGCTCTCCTCCAGAGCAGCTGCAGGCATTTGCCAGGCAGGGGCACTCACTGCTGCAGCACCCAGCATTTGCTGGAGCAGCCCCCAGCTGAGGCTCTGGCTCAGCTCTCTGTTCCCACCACATGCACCAGGGCTGTGCAGCTGTGCAGGAGGCCAGGCTGCCCTAGGCTGGCTGTATCTCAAGGCCTCCTGCCTCACGCTGCCCCAGCGTCTGTCTGTGCCACCTGGAGAGCTGCGCCTTTCTCCTCAGCACCAGCATAACACGGGATGTTCCCTGAGAAGGAAGTGCCGTGAATCAGCTCCCAGATTTTGTGCTCTCTACAAGAAGAGGGAGAGCCGGAGCAGCGCTTCTGCAAAAAGCACTCTGAGCACCAGGGGCTCCCAGCGCCTCTGGCACCAGGCGCTCACACCTTTGCCCGCTTCTCCCCCCGATTTGTAAATCAGCTCTCCCTCCCATAGAAATGCCTGTTGTTCAGGCGTCACAGAAATACTCTTTGTACTTTGAAAAAGACACTTGAATGCAAGGCAGCACGCCAGGCACTGCTGAGCAGTGACAGCCAGCCCGAGCAGTGCTGGAGCAGGCGCGGAGGTGGTGGAGCCCTGTGCTCCTCTTGGGGAGGGGCGCACAGCTGGTGCCGGGGTGCTGCTCTGGCTGCTGGGATTTGGGCACGACTGCTCAGCATGTCCCCATCTGTCCCACGTGGGTGCCTGCCCTTGACAGCCAGTCTACTTTTCGCTCTCAGCATTTTATGGTTTTATGTTTTTGGAGTATTGCCCTATCCATCCAGACCTTATCAGTGGTAGGAAAGCCTTGCTTGTAGATGTGAATGGCTTGTTGTCCCCTGGAGCAAGTGTGCATCCCACAGATGTGCCTATGGAAGTGCTCTCTGTCCCCTGGCATAGGTGGACCAAGTGTGAGCACCGAGCCAGACACCGGAGCACCAGTCCCTGTGGCTGCAGCTCAGCCCCTGACCCAAACTCACTCTTGCAGAGCATCTTGTCATGGCAAGCACCCACACAGAAGAGCCACTTGCTGAGGACACAGCCGACCATGATGCACACATCTATGAGGAGGTGATGCTCTGTGAGAGGATGGAGCACAGCCAGCGGCTGGCTGTGGAGGAGCTCATCACCACTGAAGCCAGCTATGTGCACAACCTCCAGCTGTGCCTGTCCGACATCCGGGCGCACCTCCAGAAGAAGCAGGTGAGGGCGCTGTGGGGTGAATGTGCTGGGAGCAGGGGGGCTCCCAGATCCCAGCAGGGCTGATGCTGAGGACAGCTGGGAGGCCAGTACCTGCACCCTGATCCTTTCAGCCCCCCAACTGCCCCCATCAGGCAGGGTCGTGGGTTGAACAGACATTATGTCTTAGCCAGTACAGCCATCGAAAGGCTTTAACTCTGCATCTGTAATGTTAGAAAGGCCTTGTCCTACTTGGGAACAAAGCCAGGTCTTATCTCCAAATGCCTCTTGAAATGGAGCGTTTCCAGCTCCTCGGATGTCACATGAGGCTGCTGGAAGGATACTGGTGTTGAGAGAGTGCAGATGATTCCACAATGCTAGATCCACCTCCATCTCATCTATTTGGCTTGTTCTGGGGCAATTGTGTTCCTTCCAGCTGCCTGGTCTTGACCTGGAAGGACTCTTCTCTAACATTGATGACATCCTCCATGTCTCCAGACGGTTCCTGAGGGGACTTCAGGACACTGCTACCCAGGAGCATGAGCAGCTGCTCAGCATCAGTAAGTGGAAAGCAAACTCATATGGTATGTGGGGAAGAGACCCCTTCCCATAGAAGAGAACTGTTCCATCCAGCCTGACCCTCCTCCTCCAGGCACTCTGTTCCAGGAGTTCAAGGAGGAGATGGAGATGGTCTACAAGATCTACTGTGCTAGCTATGAGCATGCCCTCCTGCTGGTGGAGAGCTACCGCAAGGACCCCAAGCTGCAGGAGGAGATCATGGAGACCCTGACCACGACAGTGTAGGTACCCATGCCACCTCCTCCCTAGTGGCCTTGCCCTTCTCCTCTCTAAACAAGCTCCCTTCGTGGATAGGTACCTGCTCTGGGGTACCTAGCTGAGTGCCACATCTTCACAGCCTCTCCTGCATCCTCTGGGACCTGTCAAAGCACTACAGTTTGGGAATCTATTATGGTGGACTCTGAACCTGTGGTGGGGTGGCACCCATGGCTCCTGCCTGCTCCTCTCCCCCTATCGCTGCCATCCAAAGGAGCTGTGCCACAGAGAATATGCATTTTCCAGTATCAGCAGAGAGATAGACTAGCCCCAGTGGACATGGAGGACCCTTCCTGCCCCATCAGTGTGGTCACAAACACTACAAGCCACTTGCATTTCCTCCTGCTTGCAGTATAGATGATGTGCTGGAGAGAGGGGGTCTGTGCACACAGCCTGGGGTGTCTGTCCTGCACCTCTCAGCCAGTCAAGCACAGTTCTGTTCAGGAGCACCAGATGCCTGCTGAGGCCTGGAACTCCCTTTGGGGTTGGCGGGGACAGCACGCTGGTGAGCACTGCCTGAGGATGCACAGCTGGGGTACATGGACAGAAATCCACAGCTCACCTCTGGATCCCAGGCAGCAAAGCTTTCTTGGTGCTGGAGAAGGGCCAGGTTATCCCCAGAATGCTTGCAGAGAAGCCCAGAGAAGCATCAGGGCTGTCCTCCATGCCATCCTCACGCAGTTCCCCCTCCTTCAGGCCTCACACAAGCGCCTCGGACCTCAGCTTCTTCCTGGTGATGCCGGTGCAGAGAGTCACCAAATACCCACTGCTGCTGGGCAAGATCCTGGAGAACACCCCTGCCAGCACCAGCTCTCACGCAGCCCTCGCTGCAGCCGTGCGTGCCATGACCCAGGTCAATGCCAACATCAACGAGTACAAGCGGCGCCGGGAAGTGGGTGAGCAGGGGCACATTTCAGGCAGAGGGCATGGCACAGGCAGCGGGTGGCTGGGGAGGCTCAGTTCAACCCTGGTTGCGTCCCATTGGTGCTGCACTGATTCCTATTCAAGTCAGTTCAAAGCTCTCCCTTTCTCCTGTCCTTCAGCCATCCTGCCAGGTGGGGCTGCAGGCTGGGCTGCGTCCCAGCAGCTCCTGGCACTGTGGAACCTGGCTCAGGGTGGGTGCTGCGCTCTGGGTAAGCTGCAGGAGCAGGGTGGCATAGGAGCGAGCACAGAACTGGTCCATCTGCATTCCCTGGGCTGGGGAGTTGAAGGAACAATCCTGCCCTTGGGATAGGAGAAATCAAGCTCCCCACAAATGCAAGCTCACTCTGCTTTTTGGTTTTCATGGTAGTTTCCCTGGGGCTGCCCTTCTTTGATGTGGGTTGTGCTTATTCTGTTGATCAGTCCCAGCCTTGCTGCTGTTCTCACCTTGCTTTTTCCGTTTCACCCATTCAGGCTGCTGCTATAAAGCTTCTGCAGCCACATTGTTCTCTTGGTCACACCAGCATCCCAACAGCTGCCCCAGCACCGTGCAGGGAGGCTGCTGGGCTGCAGGGCTGTGATAAGAGCATGCTACCTGCAGAGAACAGCCAGGACACAGTGCTGCAGGAGCCAGATCTGCACTGGTTTGCTGGTGGCTGCAGGCAGGATTTCTGGTCCCAGAGCACTGTTGTCCTATGAATGAAGGTCAAAGCACCCTCGGGGTCTCGCTGTACAGATGAGCAGCTGTGTGAGCAGCCCCTCACCTCGGGGCCGCCGGACCGCTCACCAACAGCTCTCCTTCCCCTCTCGTGTCTCCTCGAGGCAGCCACCAAGTACAACAAGGCTGAGCAGCTGACGCTGCGGGACCGCTTGGCTCGGCTCAACACCCATTCCATCGCCAAGAAGACCACGCGGCTGAGCCGGCTCCTCATGCACGAGGCCGGCATCGTGGCCAAGGTGCGCGCCTACCTCCCTCCTCTGCCGCTTCTGCGGCTTTCCTCCTGCACCGAGGCAGGGAGAGCCGAGCCCGGTGCTGACACCCAGCGGCCTGTGCTGTCATGTAAGCCCCCGTCCACCTGCCGGGTGACCCAGTGTGGCTGTTGGTCTCCAATTCTAGCCGCTGCGCAGGCACAGACCTCCCTCCTTGCCTCATAAGTATCAAAGGGGAACATTTTGACCTCCAAAAGCCCTTCAGACCTGTAGAGCATCCCAGCGAAAGGATGCACACCCAGTGACACAGAGCACTGCTTGCAGTTAGGACATTTTCCCCAGCACCACGTCCCATGTAGTGCCCAAACACCCCGTATCGTGGCCCTTGTCAAACTCCTGGAGCCCCTCAGGGTCTCTCCAGCTCCAGCTTCAGGCTGCACCTTGTGTTGGCATCCCCTCTGCCCCCACCCCTCCCGTTCTGCCTGCACAGAGACAAGCCGCCCCTTGCCTTGCAGACAGAGGACAAGGAGTATGATGACCTGGAAGAGAAATTCCAGAGCGTGGCATCCAGTGTGGTTGCACTGAAGGAGAACGTGGCATCCTACCTGAAGCACTTAGAGGTAAAGCCCTGACTGTGTGCAGGCAACTTTCCCCATCCAGGCCTCAGGACCCTGTCTGGGAGCTGCAGAACACCCCCAAGCCCTCTGCAGACAACAGCTGGAGGTGCTCAGGGATTTGTGTTTCTTGGCTGAAACGTGTTGCTGTGCTGGGGAACTCACAGCCTCAGAAGATTGCTTCCATCCACAGGAGGCTGAAATGAAGCTAAGGCTTCATTGGCAGAGCTGGGTGTCAGTTGAGAAAAGTCAATCCATACACTGATCATTATTTCAAAGTATCAAGTAGCTGGAAGTGCTCATTGTTGTTCAGCCTGGAAATTCTTGCTTTACCAGGTATAAGGCACAAGTGTCCCCAGATGAGGCATGGCAGCAGACTTCCCTTCTGAGTGACCTGGGTCAGTAATTGCTGTAATTTTCTTACAGAGATCCTTCAGGCTGTCTGAAGGAAATGAAAGCATGAGTGATGGCAAAAAGACTGTGAGGAAGGTCTCAGGAAATGGCAGAGGGGTCAGAGAGCACCTATGTCAGGATGGAAAGACCTTGTCCTGAAAATACTGAGAACAGTTCCCCACACTGGGATGACATGAAGGAAAAGGGGACAGGATGACTCCTTGTAGCCCAAACAGTGCATAAAAAGAGAAGAACACACGAGGATGGCAGTCTGTGTGCTAGTGAGATGTGGCAGGGAATGGCTGTTCTTTCTCCCCCTTATATTTGTGTGCACAACATGTATGGAGAGAAGCTCCCATGCTGCTGGAATAGTTACAGGATGCTGCACGGTGCTGGGCAGCTCCCAGAGGCCTGCCCTGATTGCTTTCTCCCTTCCAGGCATTCCTGCTGCCCACCCCACACAAGTGTGAGCTGCAGATGGAGGAGGGCCCTGCCCAGCAGTACCGCCGCCTCGCAGAGCACCTCCACTGCGCTGTGTTCCCAGAGTTTGTGAGTGCTCCTTCTTTGCAGAGCTCCTTTGGGATCAGAGCCAAGCATCTCTCACACCTCCTGCCAGGGCTGCCAGGGCAGGGGAAACAGAGAGTGGGGTTCAGAATGGCCCGGTGCAGGGAGCATTCTTATCAATATTCAGCTTTGGGAGCCCATCAGCATTCCATAGATGGTGTCTGCCCTCAGCCCCACTCATTGTAAGCATGGCCAGGATGGGCTTCCAAGCAGTGCAGGCTGTGGCAGGGCAGACAGATCTCCATACTGGATACAGTTCCCCTGTAGGGAGAACCAGCCCTTCCCTTGCCCATGCTGCACAGGGCGAGACACGGGGTAAGCACACACAAGTCCTCCAGCAGGCTCCCAAGCCTTTTCTAATGCATAAGACAGTGTTGCATGCAGACAGCGGGGCCTGTCCAGTGGAGTTCCCATGGAGGTTTGGGTTTTGTCATCCCACAGAGGCGCCGGCTGGACAGGCTTGTCTGGCAGCCCCTCTGCAGCCTGGCAGAGATGCTGGTGGGGCCGCAGCAGCTGGTCAAGAAGCGCCTGGACAAGCTGCTGGACTACGAGGAGATTCAGGAGAGGAGGAGCGAAACGGGCAGTGTGACATATGATGAGGAAGCAGCCATGAACACCTATCTGGCCATCAATGCCCTGCTTGTGGCTGAGCTCCCGCGCTTCAACCAGGTGGCCATGCAGCTCCTGGAACAGCTCCTGGGCTCCTTCTGCGTCCTGCAGCAGGACTTGGCTGCAGAGGTTCTGCATGAGGCTAAAAAGGAACTAGAGCAGGTGAGAGGAGGAGAGCGGGTGTCCTTGTGCTCATCCAGGCTTGCCTGTTTTAGCTGGGTTCATCCGTCTCCCCCTCTAGCAGGCCCGTGGGGCTGCGGGCGCGGGCCAGGACCTATGGCAGCTCTGGTGAGCTGGTTGCATCCCACACTGACCTCAGGGTCCTTCACAGATGCCCCATGGCCACATGCTGCTGCCCGCTTTCTGGAGGCTGGTGGAGGACACCCTGCAGCAGTCAGGAGTTCAGCTCTCTACCTTCATCCAGGCATTTGAGACTGTCACACCAAGCCCTGTGCCACAGGTAGGTGCTGGAAATCATAAACTCGTTAAGGTTGGAAAAGACCACTAAGATCATCAGGTCCAACCACAAACCCATCTCCACCGTGCTCACTTAGTGCCACATCTCCACAGTTCTTAGACACCTCCAGAGATGGTGATTGCACCACCTCCCTGGGCAGCCTGTGCCAAAGGAAGGGCTGACAATGAGGAGGCGCTGTGTCTGAGACCTCGTGGTGCAGGATGTTGGGGGCAGGTTGGCTCACACAGTGGCACAGGGGATCCCCACAGCCACAGCGCTACTCCAGAAGAGGCTGTCTGGGAATAACCAGAGCTGGAACAGCCTCAGCTTTTCTGGTTCTGAGCTCTGGTCTTCTCCAAACTGTGAGGAAGAGCAGATAGTGTGGAGAGGTTTCTCTAAGCACCCATTGGAACGTGACCACATGATGATAGAACATGCTCACAAAGTGTCTCAGTCTCCTGTGTCTCACTGAGTGCTCCTGTGTTTCTTGTTCCCCTCCAGCCCCTGAACCCTGCTGAGGAGCGGAAGGTCCTTTCCCTTGTGAGCAAACACGGCCCAGACAAGCTTTACCAAGTGACAAGCAACATCAGTGGCAGCAAAGACATGGACCTGACCTTGCAAAGGGGGCAGATTGTGGCTCTGATACAAAGTGTGGATACTAAAGGCAACAAGGGCAGATGGCTTGTGGATGCTGGAGGTACTGTTAACATTGCAGGGAGGCACCAGGGTCAGAAAACAAACCCAAACCACTTCCTCAGCTTGGATGAAACAGTGAGCCATTGTCTCCTGGACCCTCCTTTCCAGGACTGGCTTAGCCCAAACCCATCTGTGCTCTGCCAGCTACACCTGTAGCCATTGGCTGTAGATCTTGGGTTTCCTCATTTGTTCCCCAAAAGAGCACTTGTGAAGTGTCAAGACTGGGAAAGGAGAGTCCAGCCCACACAGAAGTGTCTTGAAACCCATTATTTGGGCTTTTGCTCTGGATGTACCCTAGTGATGGACACGTTTGAGTGGGGCTCCTGTGCTGTGCCAGCCACAGCCAAGTTCCCCTCCCTTCTCCTCCAACCCATCCTATGTGTGCCAGGTGGTGGAACCCCATGACCTGTGTGTGCATGTTCTCCAGGTCCCCGAGGGTTTGTGCCTGCTGCCAAACTCCAGCCCTATTGCCTGGGACCAAGCCAGCAGCCCAGGATGCAGATGTCAGCCCTGGAGAGTGGTACAGAGAGAAGGCGACATTCTTATGTGTCACCTGAAGCTCCTAAACCCCAGGTGGCCACATTCACCCCGGCTTTCCAGGTGAGAGGAGAGGACAACCCAGGCCTGTTCCCAGCGACCCTGATAGCTCTCTACTCGTGGGCAAAGACACAGACCTGTTTTTCCAGCACACATACAACCATTCGTGTGCAGCTGTGTGCCTTGCAGGAGGGTCGCAGCCGCCTGGGTAAGGCTGAGGTTTGCCTTTCTGGGACCTGGGGTGGACAGAGCAAGGGAACTGTGCATTGGAGGTCTCCACTGTCCCTACATCGATGTCCTTGGTGTCCCCTCTAGGTCCTACCCTGCCATGCATGTCCCTTTGCTTCCTAGCTCTGACCCTTGCTAAGTGCTTCCTCCTCTCCTCCTGCTCTCACAGGTGGTCGCTGGCTTCTCCTTCACAGCACGCAGCCCGCAGGAGCTCAGCCTGCAGGCAGGGCAGCCCGTGGTGGTGCTGGAGCCACACGACAAGAAGGGCAGCACCGAGTGGAGCCTGGTGGAGGTGAACGGGCAGCGGGGCTACGTGCCCTCCAGCTACCTGCGGACAGTCCCTGTGCAGGAGCCCGTGGGCTGGAATCTGCCCGTGTGAGCAGCACCAGCGCAGCACCTGATGGCTTCGTGCCGCTCACGGAGGAGAGCTGTCTGATTGGCACCCGATGAGCTCGTTGCTGAGGGAGTGGCTGCACAGCCCTTGCCTGGGGAAGCAGCAGAATGTGGCCCAGGGGCGGTTGCAAGTGGGGAGATGTGCTTTGTGCCGCTGTGCACAAGGGCAGGAAAGTGCGAGGGTGCCACGTCCATGTGTGTTTGCTTCTGGCTGGGCAGCACGGAGAGAAGACTTGGGATGGAGTGACATGTGGCTGCAGCTCGGCAGGGATTCATTTTGGTGAGAAAAGTGCCTGTAGTGGTGATGAGAGAACCATCCCTGAGTAAATCACGTCTGAGCTGCAAAGACCGCAGTGCTGCAAACGGGGCTCCAGCCTGGCACGTGTCTCTTGGAGACGCGCTCTCCACAAAACGGGCGGGATGACTCTCCCTTGTGCCCACCCACACGGCCCATCGCCATCTGGGCATTGGTTGCCCCCGACGCCGGCGCTCTGTCACCTCTCGGCCACCAAGCCCTACTCCTGCTCCCTGCACTGCGGTGCGGTGCTGCCGAGGGCCGCTGACGCTCGCGGCGCGAGAAGCGCTCTGTGCGCGACCGCAGCTCTTGGCTGTGACGGTACGAGACTCCGGTCTCCCGTGCCCACGGTGTGGCTGCGCGGCCGCGAGGTGGCGGCGCCGTCCCGGCACAGCTCAGCTCAGCTCAGCACCGCAGCGCCGCGCCTCCCGCCCGCGGCTCCTCCGGGATCTTCCGTTGCCAATCGCATCGCGTGGATCCTCGGTGCCCGCGGACGTTCCCTGCAGATGCTCTTCCCGGGACGTGCGCTGTTACGCGGTGTGAGGACGCAGGGCACCGACATCTCTCACTTCTCCCATTCTATCACCCCAACTGCGCTGCTGCACAGAGGCTTCGGCTGCTCCCTGGGGTCAGCGCAGGGCACTGGTCCCTTCCAGCCCAACCACGAGGAAGAATAAAGGGCACAAGCGTGCCTTTAAATAGCGCGGCGAGGACACGCTCTCCCGAGAGGAACGCTCTGGCCGGGCTGGTGGAACATGCCTGTGCCCGGGGGGCGGCTCCTGGCCAGGTGCCCACCTCAAGGTCAGGCATCGCCCAGAGCAGCAGCACGGCAGCAGGGCCGTGTGTGGGGCAGCCGCTCACCAGCCTGGGTTTCAGCGTGCGCAGGGCTCTGGTGGCGGTGGAGCTGGGTGGCACTGCTGCCTACAGCCTCCGCTGGCCAGCAAGGGACTCGGCGCTGGCACTGTGCCTGAGCTGATTCATATCCTGGACATGCTGGCATTTGGATGGTGTCCACCCAGAGGGTGCGACAACGAGGATCAGATCTGACCTGCTGGCCCTGGGCCGGCTTGTTTGTGTGCGAGGCGCACAGTGACCGAGGCACGGCTGGCATTGCTGAGGGAAGAACGGCATCCATGCAAACTCCAAGGCCTGGTTCCCAAACCTGGGTCCATCCCAGGGACGCAATGTGTGCAGGGCTGTGGTGTGTAGGGAATGCAGGGCTGGATGCAGAGCAGCACGTGCAGCAGGATCTCAGGACCCAAGGTACCTGCAGTGCTGTGCTGCTGGGGGGCTGAGCCCCGCAGATGGTGGCCACAGGGCTGGGAGATAGGAGCACAGGCATGAGCGGCACTGCTTGCTCCTGTCTTGCACAGCCAGCACCTGAATTGCTTAATAAAGTGTGAAATTGCTTTCATGCTCTGCTACCTTTGCAGACACGGACCATCATTACTGCCTCCCCCCACCCCCCAGCCAGCCGCTGGCTGCTGCCAAAGTCCCTGCTGTCACAGAGCTGCCAGATGAGCTGCTGGCTCACACGGCACCCAGCTCAGCTCCACAGCACAGCCACAATGCACACCCTTCCCTTCTTCCCAGCCCCATAGCAGAGCTCCACTGCTGTGGATGCAGAAACCCAGCCATGAGGCTGGGTTGGGGCTGCACACCCCATTTTTCCCTGTTCCCCTCTTCAGATGGCCCTGGGGATGCTGAGAGATGCTGCACACTGCAACATCAGCCCATGCTCTGCAGGGAACACAGGACTGCCTCACCGCCAAGGTGGACCGATGGCTTTTGAGCCGCCTGAACGTGCCCAGAAACCATTTGCAGTCTTAACAGAGATAATCAATCACTGTGCTCCTGCTCTGGGCCTAGCTGCTGAGGATGGCTCTCCTGAGCTGAGGGCTGGCAAGGCTGGTGAGGACTGCACTGCCAGCAGGGGAAACATCCCCTCGAAAGGACACAGATCTCTGCTCTTTCCTTCCTGCAGGAGGGCGGTCTGTGCCCCTCTGTGACAGGAAATGCCGAGGGAGCCAGGCGTGGGATGGGTGCAGGGATCTGCAGGAAATGCCAGGCAACAGAGATACTTTGCCCCAGGGAAAAGGTGTCATGTTCTTCCAGCCACTGATAAAGTTAAACCCTTGATCTTGTTAAAGATTTAGTCCAGAAGGCAGTTTAGATGGGACATGCATGCTGCCGGTGCTGCCCAGGCACAGGGACAACTCTGCTGCCCTCCTTCCTGCGGGAAGGCTGCAAGGCTGCAGGATCAGCCCTATCCCAGGCACAACAGCATCAGAGCAGAGAGCATCACAGTCCTTAGCTCTGCTGTGCTGCGGAGGAGGCATGGGGAGAGCAGGGGAAGGCTGGGTACAGCCTGGCATTGTGGAGCCCTGCGCCTCGTGCCCGGCTCTGGGTGATGGAGTGGTGCTCTGTAGCTCACCCTGTGCTGTAACCCTATAGCCCACGCTGCCCCTGCCACCTCCTTGTGCTGCAGCACAGCCAAATGCCGTGGGTGGGGGGAGGCTCTGTGCCACCGTGCTGTCAGCCTGCCCCTGACGTGAAATGAGTCAGCTGGAGCAGCCCATACTGCCGCTACCCCTCACGGACAGCCGGGTGCCCCCCCCACCGCTCCCCATATCCCTGCTGTGTCCCTGCAGCACACAGCCCAGGATGGCGCTCCTGGAGCAATGCACCTTTCTCTCCCTGCCTGTACCTCCTCCCCTGGCAGCTGCCCAAGGCAGAGCCCTGCAGGCTGTCCCTTCCCCAAGGTGACCCTGCTGGCGGGTGTGCTGCGCTCCTCGGGGCTTTCCTGAGGGCACCTGAGGTGAAGGCAGCGTGCGTGGCAGGGGGTATGTGTGTGCAGGGCACAGGCTGCTGGGTTTGGTGACAGCTGCCCACAGTGGCAAATGGCCTAAACCCATATCTCAAGGGCTCCTGCTGCACTTGTGGGTGGCCACTCACGGTTGTCACAGTGGTAGCAAGGACTGTAAAGGCACCCCAAACCCCCAGGTTCTGTACCTTCAAGCAGCTCCCAACCATAGGTGCACGCTGCTGACAAAAACTCCCTTTGTGTGCTCAGCATCCCGGTGGGAATTCACCTAAACACACCCCGAGGAGGAAGGGATGGGTGAAGGGTGGGGAGAGGAAAGCTGCCTGCTGTTTGTTTTTGCTAATGAAGCCCCATAATCAAATAATTTCAATTTTAATTGTAAAGCCAGCAGGCAGATTTCTGTCTCCAGATGGGATGCGATATGAATAGCTCAGGGCTAGCCACGTTCTGCCCTCACCTCAGTGCCTGCCCAGAGGGATCCCCAGATAAGCCTGGGGAGTGCTCAGGGTCTCTTCTGCTCCCCCATCCCAACAGAGGGACCTGCAGGTGCTGTGCTGCACTGAATGGGAGCAGTGGAACAGGAGTTGTTCCCCTGGTTTATATCCCAGGGTACATGAGATCTATTTGCAGCTTGCACTGACTGCTTTGTTTTTGGGTGTTTGGACATGCGAATGAGAGAAGGAAAGAAAAATAAATGGAATAAATGGGGTCCAATTTGTTTTTCGGATAGCTGCAGTACTAGCCTCCAGCCTCAGTGGGATATGTTGAACCTGGAAACAAGCAGCTGGGAGAGGAGAAATTGTCTATACTCAGTAAGACACGTGCCATGCCCAGCTTTGTGTTTAAGCTGCTGGGAGCTGGGTGCCAGCCACCAAACCCAAGGTGATGCTGTATAGGTAATTGCTGGATCCCTGCATCCTGTAAGGGGTGCAGCTGCTTGTATTTCTGACAGCACTCCAGGCACCCTGCAGGAGGGCTCCAGGCTGCGGGATGAATGGTGTGGAGCAGCACCAGCACCCCTTGGCCAGGCCTGCGCTCTTCTCTCTGCTCTCTGCTCCTGCCCGTATGGCTGCACCACCAGAGCCAAGCACACCAAATCCAAAGTCATCCCCAGGGCCGCTGCTGCCGGTGGGCTCACCCATAGACCTGCTTGTCTGCTGCCCAGGACACAGCCCACGCTTGTGTCTGTGAGCAGTGGGAACGCGGGCACAGAACAGCTGCTGGGAATTTAAATGACCGCTCATGAATGCCGGTTTTGTTTTGTCCCAGACGCGGCTGCGTTCTGCCTGGGAGAAGCAGCATTCAAATGTGGCTGATCACAGGGCTCTCCCCTGCAAATGAAGCTGGTCTGGGAAATCCGGGGAGAAAAGGAGCTTGAAAAGAGCCTTGGAGTGACTCCTGTCCCTGCATGGCCCTGCCAAGGGAGCAGTGGGCACCCAGGGCAGGGAATGCAGCGGTGGTGTGGGGACATGGGGACGTGGGACCTGTGATACGTGACATAGGCACATGTGGAGATGTGGACATGGGAGCCAGCTGCGCTCCCCTACAGCCCTGATGTGCAGCCAACACAGGGCTGGGCTTGGGGAGACAATGCCATTCACAGGACAGGGTCAGCAAGACTAGAGGAGAGAGCAGGTCTCCAGGGACAACCTGGAGGTGAAGATTTTGGCCTGGTCAGGGTGGGAAATGCTGTCCTGTGACCAGGCTTATGCCACCAGTTGCCACCACTGACTCAATGCATGCTGCCAAATGCATGCACTGGAGATCTGGTTGTGAATGGATAAACAACATTTCTTATTACGACTGCTAATGGGATACCAGCCCATGACAATGTAGATATTTTAATAATACAGAATTCTTTTAATGAAGAAGCTTAACAAACTAAATTACTTCCCAACATTTGTATATGTCATATTTGCTCATTTATGCATGCAGTAAATGAAATGAACATTACCAAATAGTTAGAAAATAGCAAGCATACACAAGAAGTGCACTTGTATGAGAACAGAATCGGGCACTGCTTTGCTCAGCACACGCTGCCTCACACTGCAGCCGGGCATTCCCTCCCCAGTGCTACACTGCACAAAGCAGTGATGCAATGGCAGAGCTGCCCCCACTCATGGCCAAGGATTCTGCAGCTGCTGCAGTTGTGACAGCCCCGGTTGCTAAACCCCTGTAGCAAATGGTGCTTGCAGATGGAGGGCTGCAGCCCTCACTTGGATTCCGGCCAGGAACCTCTTAGTTCATGGCAATGGTGCTCTGCACCATGGTGCACCTCCACACCTCTGCTTGGTCTGCGTGCGCACCTGTAAGGATGTGAGATGTGTGGGCAATGCACCCCGCTGCCTCCTCCTCCCCTTGTGTCACTCGGTGTGTTCAGATGTAATTCCCCTTCTGGTTCTCTGCTCATGGGAATATTATGCCCAGCCCTTTGTCGGACAGGTGAGCTGCGTGGCTGTGTTCCTTCCCCTCCTAAGGAGCCAAGAATGCACGGAGAGATGGAAATAGCCCTGGCTGACACAGATACCTGTGCAAAGCAGTTGGGGCCTGCACTTGCTTTTGTAATTGCATGCTGCATGGCGATGAGTCAGCCAGCCCTGCGCAGCAAGCAGCATGCTGCAGGATGGCTGCAGCCCTCACCACGCCAAATCGGTATCCATTGGTCTGGGAAAGAGCTGTGCCCCCCCAGAAAGGGTGCTCAAAACACAGCCAGCACATGAAGCTAACAGGAAGAAGGATGGCAGCAAGAACATCTTGCAGCTTTTTCAGCTCTCTAGACACTTCCAAGCGGCAGGAAGGAGCATAAGCTGTGATCGTGCTGCATTCTCTCTGTTGCTATGTGCAGAACTGCTGCCTGCAGCGTTCAGGCCTGGCTGCAGGGCTCAGCCCCCAGCTGGCATTGCCCACGCCCTGGGACCAACCCAGAGGGATGCAGAACCCCAGGGTGCCATTATTGCAGCCACCGGCACAGGCAGCACTGCAGACAGGGACGAGGGGGGGACAGCGGGTGACATCAATGGGATATGACACATGCTATAAACGCAGTGCGAGAGCTGGAGTGAGAGCATAAGCAGGAGGAACACGGAGCATACGGCACAGCTCCCGTTGGGCCCTGCAGGCACACGGCCTCCCAGTGCCAGCGCTGCACGAGCTGCTCGTAGGAGGCGCACCGCGGTGCCCAGCCCAGGCAGCATCGGGGCACAAAGCTGTGTGCAAGGAGCAGCCTCTCTGCGATAGAGGGCTTCTGGGACCCCATGGAGACACTGTCCCCAAACAGGACAGGCTGCCAACCCTGCACCGTGCCCGTGCTCAGCTCTGGTGTGCAGTGCAGGGACTGGGTGCACAGCTGCCGTGTGCCGCTCCCCTGCAGGGACGTGAGTCAGCAGCAGCACTGTGGGGAGACAGTGGGCATCCCGGGGTCCTCATACAGCCCACGCAACTGGCAGCAGCCCCATTGCATAGGAGACCTCCCCGCCCTCCTCAGCTCCTTGCTCTGGGAAATTCCCATCTGTTTCAGCAGCTAATCCTCAAACCCCACGTGTCTCTCTCCACAGGTTTCCTCTGCAATAACAGCCTGACTTCAGCATGTTCAGGGAAGCAGCTTTGGAGATGAGCAGGCTGCAAAAGCAGGCTGGACCAGCAGAGCCTATGCTGGAGCAGCTCCATCCCTGCCTCTGCTGTGGGCTGAGCTGCAGCACACCGAGCCCTGGGGCAGCTGTGATGTCCATTCCACACGGGGCTTTGTGTCACAGAGCAGCATCGCTTTGGTGGAAGAGCAATGGATCCAAGGAGAGGAGCCCAGCAGAGATGCTCAGTGCCACATGGAGCAGCACAGCTGGGAGCCCTGGGGACAGTCCCACGGTGCCTCATTTAACGTATCATAGAATCATTAAGGTTGAAAAAAACACAACGACCATCTAGTCCGACCATCAGCCCATCACCCACGCAGGTGACGAGGAGAACACGCCATTGAGTGGGGCTGGCGAGCTCCCGGGGAACCCCGTGCTGTAACCAGGAGGACCCCCCTCAGCGCCGCTTCCACCCCGCGCCGCTCGGCCCTTACAACATCTCCCCATCCGCAAACACAGCGGCTGAAACCCGAGCACGAGGGCGGGCGCTGGCGCGGGGTGGCTCCGGCCCTGGCGCCGCTCATTGGCTCCGCTCCGCGTCCCGCGTTGGCCTTTGGCAGTCCGAGGGCACTCAGCCCGCGTCCCCCCCCGACCGCTGCCCTAATGGCACGGCTCGCCCTCCCAAAGGGCATGTGCAGCTTCTTGTTATATTTTACCTAGGCTCTGTTATCCCCGGGGCAGACGCTGGCGTGGGAGCGGGGTTGGGGTCGGCACGCTCAGCCCCGTTGTGGGGAGGCTGCGGGGCTCCTCCTCTTGCAACGGTCTCAGCTGCCTGCCCCTCTTTGAGGAATCAGGAAATTTCTGGTGCCTGAGATTATGAGAGGTGGAGAGAGCAAAAACCAGCTTGGCCATATCATGGGACAGAAAGTGTCATTGCTTGGGGACGTTGGCTCCTTCAGGGCTGGGGCTGGAGGACAGCAGTTGGAGGAGGGCCTATCTGCCCTGGCAGAGGGCTGAGAGCTGCAAACCGTAGCTGACACCTCTTCAGTTACAAGAACCAGTGGGCCTTGAGCTCTGCCAGCCCTCCTGCTTGCAAAACTCAGGTTTTGATTTAGAGAGAAGTCACAAGCAATTGGTAGTGAAACTGCACGATGCTCTGCATACAGCCAGAGAAGGGAGCACTGCATCCTATTCACACCACTACAGGCAGGACACGCTCCATCCCCACCTGATCACTTCTGAGGAGGCAGAACAAAGCAGTGAGACATCTTGTCCTCCTTCACCACCTCCCTGGGGCTCTCCGTTCTACAGGGGAAAAGCACCAACCAGCATAGAAAAGCACCGGGGCTGTGCGAAAGCCCAGAGCAGGCAGGAGCAGAGGGAGCATCCAAGCACCGCCGTGCAACCACGTCAGCAGCTGTGCTTCATCCCCCAGGATCCTGTCGGACCCCAGGGACAAGGCCAGCAGCACGTCCTCTTTGCAAGGTGTCCCCATTGTCCCACCTGTGCTGTCCTCCACTCACCTGCTGGCACAAGGGCCTGTCCCCAGCTGGCCCTGCCCAGTCTTGCGGCCAAACGGAGCCCTGTGCAGAGGAGCAGCTGGGCGGTGTGGGCTGTGTTTGGCTCTGCTCTGCTCCTTGGGTGCTCGCATACTCAGCTGGGAGAGGTGTTTTTGAAACTCAGGGCTATGGGGGCTGGAGTTTCGAGCCTTTTACAAATGATTCTCATAGATGGTTACTTCCCATTTGAGTGCAACTCATATAAAGGAAATCACGAGATACACAAAGGAGAACCTCACTTGTCATTCAACAGATTTGGCTTGAAAGCCCACATTCAGCGTGAGGCCCTGCAGCCCTGCTTCTCCCCCAGCGAGGCAAACACCGCTGCCGACAGCTCACCTCTCCCTGTACTGCATGCATAGGGGCACTGGGGCTGCACTGCAGGACCCTGGGAGCACAGCCCTCCTCTGCAGGAAACCACCCGTGTCCCAGAGCCATTTCCTGCCCTCCTGCCATGTGCAGTGGTGTGGGCTGCAGGAAGCAGTCTGGGGCATGGAGCCCTTGGGGGAGGGAAGTTTTACTGCGGTGAGGCAGTGTTAGAAGCGCCTTGGGTTGCAGTGCTGCTTAACAGTAATCAGTACTAAAGCAGCACTGCATGGGGAAGAGCTTTGGCAGCTTCTCTCTCACTTCTTCCATCCCAGCAGCAGAACCCCACGTTCCAGCTCTCACCAACCTTGTGCTGCCTGTGACACTGTTGGTGCAGAGCTCGGGGCACAGGGAAACCCAATGCAGCTGCTGCTGCCGAAGGGTCTGCAAAGAGCCTTTGGAACAAGAGCAAGGAGAGAATGCTGATGGGCAGCACGGCTTGGCTGCTGGGGGAAGGGACCCTCAGCACAGCCATCAGAACACAGCACATGCCTCCCCACCTCATGGCCTTGCCACATCAGCAGCTGGACACACAGGTGTCCGGCACCAAACCCTCTGATGGGACTGGAGGCCGCAGCCCCTTGAGCTGCAGGTGCTGCCACTGGGCTCATTGGGCAGCAGCTAATTCAGGCTGCAGCAGGGAGCCCTGCTCCTTCCCGTGTAATTGCAACGGCTAAGCAAATAGAACATTCGTGAGATTTTCATCCTGTCATCAATTATTTCTAACAGGGCTTTTAGCGTACATATGCCTCAAAACCTGAGACAGAAAACGATACACGTGACATCGAGATGCTCGCTGTAGGCACACTGCTGAGAGGAAGGCGGCCCGAAGTCCTTCTGCCGCTCTCTTCCCACTTTCTGTCCCCCGGAGCAGCTCTCCCGCCCGGAACCCCCCGCCCCCCCCGCTCTCCTGCAGCCCCCCGGGAAGCACCCCGCGGGCGGTGCAGCTCAGAACCTCCCGGCGCAGCGCTGCCCCACGCGCGGCCGCAGCTCTGCGGGTCCCCCCGGCGGGGCGGCGCGGTGCCGTCCCCCCCCCCTTTCGCCGCCCCCCCGGGCTCCCGCAGCCGGCGGGCGGGGGCTGCTGCCGGCTCCGCCCCGCCGGCCGCCCGGCTCCTCGCCGCCGCGCCTGCTGCATGCTCGGAGCCGCCTCAGCCCCAGCCGGAGGTGGAAGATGGCGGAGCCGGGGCCGGACTGCGGAACCCTGCTAGACGAGGCGCTCTCCTCCTTCGTCTTCAACTACCTCGCTGACAGCCAGGTGGGGAGGGCGGCGGTGCGGTGCGGGAGGAGCCGACGCGGAGCGGCCCGGAGCGGCGCGAGCCCCAAGGGGAACCCGCGGCTGCACCGCCGGCTGCGCGGGAGCGATTTTAGGGGAGGGGGTCTGCGGGGCAGCGCCGCACCGCGCCGCAGCGGCTCCGGCCCCCGCTTTCAGCACCACTCGCACGTGGACTCCCGGCCCCCCCTCCCCGTGCGCGTGGGGCGAACGGGAAACCGGCGCTGCAGCCCCTCCGGCCGCGGGAGAGGGGCGGCGGGGAACGCCGGGGGGGCGGCGGGGGGCTGCGCGGTGGGGGCGATAAGAGCCGGGCTGCGGGATGAGTCATGCCGAGCGTCAGTTGCACGCATACGGGCTGGGATCTGGGGATGGGGAGGCTGGGAGAAGGGGCTTCGTGCTGCGAACCGGCTGCTCCAAAATCTGGATCGGCTCCCTCCTGCACGGAGCCGGGTATTAAAATCAGATTAAGGCTCCTTGGCAGCTCCCGCACAATCACGAGAGCGAGCTGTGCTCGCTATAGGGCTCGCATGCTTTTCCATTTTGGGGGCTGGAAGAGAGGCACTATACGATAATCCGGGCGGCAGCGAGAGCCGTGGCCGATCTGGAGCACCTCCGTGCATTTCACAGCCGGATTGCTGAGGCCGGTGCAAGTGGGAAGAGTTTTCTATAGTTATATATCATCCCTCCAGCCCTTCACTTTCATAACCCCGGATTACAAAATAGCTTCGATTGTGAAGTGAGCAGATTCATCCCAACCCATGCTCTCTTACCAGTTAGCTTTGGGATTGCACACAGCAGGAATATGTCGGGTGTGTGTGTGTGTGCACGCGTGGGGGCAGGACGGGACACACGGGGACTAATCCTGCTGTTTGGGTTCCAAACAAACAAGCTCTCAGGACTTGGTAAATCAGATTTGCCCCTGGTGTGTGTGCCAGACTGAACCAGGCAGGTCTTGCCACCAGCTAGATGGATGTGGTCCCAGTGCCTGCCCCGCATGCTCCTGCCTGGCACGGGACGCGGGCGCTTTGCTGGGGGCAGAGCAGCGGGTGGCAGCTCCGGCTCTTAACGAAGAGCTGATGACAGGCTGCTTACAGCAGAAGGGTCAGGGAGGGTGAGAGGTGGGCCGAGGAGGTTTTGTAAGCAGTTTGCTTTCTCTAATTTGGATTGATTTATCATTGTTGGGGAGAATGCTTGGCTGAAGGAAGGAGGCAGGTTTGGGGGGTGTTGTCCCCCAAAGTGCTGCTGCGGCTCCCAGCAGCACAGCTGCTCTCAAGGCAGGTGAAAGTTCCTGGCTCTGCTTCCCAGCAGTGCGCTGTGTGCTCTCAGTGGCTTTAGCTCTGAGCACAGAGCTCGTGTAATTGCAGCACGCATCTGAAGGGCTGCTCCGTTTTGCTTTTCTGGTCAGCATTTGACGTCTCAATCTAGGAATCTTGTTTTTTCCCAAAAAGGGGCTGTTCAGGGAAAAAAGAAATCCTGATGATTGTCATCCTTCTCTGGTGCGAAACCACCATGTTGTGAGCATCCCCTGCAGAATTTGGGACCGTGAAATGGCCTGTGATGAAATAAGACCATTTTTACGGCATCTCGTGAAATAAGACTGCTGCGCTTGTGCCCTCTTTTTCCCTCCCTCTCCTCTATGTGCATCGTGATGCTGGAGGGAGCGCCGTGCGTGCACATGGGGTCAGTGCTGATCTGACGTCTGCCAGCCATATAATGTTACGGGTGGCAAACGGATCCGCACCGACTGCCGCACGTCCGGGCAGCGACGTGCAGCCCGCGCTGGAACAGATATTGCATTTTCCCTCTGTGCCCTAAGTGCGTAGAAGGGTTAAAGCCTGGTGTGAAAACAGAAGGAAAGAAAGAGAGAGAAGAAAAAAAATAAAAAATAAAGTCCGTCCCCCCCCCCCGGGGGTGGATTTGCATACATTGGTTTAAGGAAGGACTAAGTTGTAAGTGTGTGCTGTTCGTGTACCTTCACCTCTGATGAAACTGCAGTGGCAGCTCCTGCTGCTGTCACATGCTTTCTCCAGAGCTGGAGCCAGAGGCGGGCCCCGCACTCTCCGCTGACGTCCCTCCCCACTACTACTGTACAGCCCTGCTTACAACTGGGTGCTGGCTGCTCATTGAAGCCCGAAAGCTGCTTCTGCACAGTCCCCGGTGCTTCGGCATGGAATCAGATTATCCTAAGTGGCTACGATGTCAGGAGGCTGTGAGATCATGAATATTGCCCGTTTCCTCTGTGGAAATCTTGAGGAACTCTGACTCTTCCCCCGCTGCCTCTCCCCACTCCCTCCTTCACAGTGGGTTTTGGGTGAGCAGTGGCTCAATGTTGGTGATCAGCGCTCTGTGACAGAGGAACCCTCGGGAGATGCACAGTGAAGGTTTAGCGTGGGTATTTGCATCCGTCCCTTCATTATATGGGCTTGTGCTGAGGTTGCCTGTGAACCTCTATTTACATATTGAGGACAGCGATGATTCACCTGCAGCCTGCATTGCTACAGAGAAAAAATCAGGGTTTCTCACTCCGTATACAGGCCTTTCTCCTGCTGTCCCCTTTCCTTTCTAACAGCAACGAAAAAGTGATTTTGTTCTGCAGTAACTCAGAATGGGCCCATTTGATCCATTTTGTGCAACCCTGCTGCAGCAAGCAATGGAAGGTGGCAGCAGGTGCTGGAAAGTGGCATCCTTGTGGCTCTGCAGGGAGCATGGGCCTCAGCATTCCTGCAAAAAGCAGGAGCACTACGCTTCTATGGCTTCAATTTATTTAAAACCCCCCAGTGAAGTGCAGCAGTGAAAAACGGTAACAACAGGCTGCTGCTGGGAGGGATGCTAAAAGATCATGTGAGCTGCAATGCTATATTCCTCATTAACTTCTCAGCCTCCCACTAACAGCTTAATCCATTGATGAGTGCAGGGAGAGCACTGAAGGCCTCGGCTGAGCATCAGGTGGATCAGTATTGCTGGTAATGAAATGAATGTGTGTCCCTAATTTCTGACAGTCCTTGCTGAGCAGGCCGATGTTGCGCTTTGTGCGTGTGTTGAGCTCTGGGTAGTGGAGGCAGCCCCAAGCTCTGGCAAAGCTGCCCTTGCAGCTCAGGTCGTGCAGCCCATGCTGGTGATGCTCTCACCTTGCTGGGTGCTGCTGGGCTGTGGCACAGATGTGTGTGGGTGAGGCCGTCAGCATTGGTTTGCTTACAAGGCAGGATGCCCACAGCTGTGTGCATTGCAGCTTCAGATATGGAGGAGATGGAGAGTGCAGCGGGAGCAGGGAGAGGAGGGCTGGCCCTCTGGAGGGCTGTGTTCAGCCTGACTGCTCTCAGTCCTGGCTTTGGGCCCCAGCAGGACCCTTCCCTCCACCTTCCTGCACATCCCTCCCTGCTCCCATGCTGTAATGGAAAGGCACCTCTCCAACAGGTGAATAATTAAGGTCTTAACCTCGTGCCTCTAGCAAAGGGTGCTTTGTGAAAGAGACTGATTTCTCTCCCACATTAACCTTTCCAATGTCAAAAGCCTCTTTGTAGTTAGAAACTCTGCTTGCTCCCACACTTAAATGCTGTCAATTGAGAATGAAAAATGTCCTGGGGCCACGGGATGCCCTTCCTCCCCCAAGACCCCCTCTCTGCTGTGTGCAGGGCCAGGGACATGGGCACCTGTGAAAACTGTGCTGCTCGGGGCTTTCCCTGAGGTGGGGCAAGGAGCCTGCATTTGTCAGAGGAATCCGCTTCGGCCCCCGCTTCACGGCTGAGCCCCGCTCCATGGCAACCCCTTGCAGGCTTTCATTTCTCGTGATGGCTTGGTGGAACGGAAGCGATTTAGCAGAGGAGGAATTTTGCACGCTGCCTGCATGGAGAGATGGGCTGGGGCATCCCTCACCTGCACCCCAAGAGCGGGTGAACGCAGGCAGGGGGATGCCCTGCTGCTTGCACCATGTGCAAGGGGATGCGGGTGCTGATCGTGGTTGTCACGAGCCAAAGACTAAAGGTTGAAGTTAACGGCGCAGATGGTCAGGTGGGGTGAGCTGACCTACTTTGGAGGCAGCCACGCTGCTGTGCCACCCAGGTAATGGTCTGGCCGATGTGTTCTCCTTCACTTATCACTCAGCAGTTCTGCTCTTCAGCACTTTTCCTGAGTTCCGGCCATGGAATCGCACTAATTATTATTTATTTATTGGCTTTTTTTATATATGCGTGTAATGGGAGCTTCCAAGAAACGCCACGGACTTTGCATGGATCTGGCAGTGCTTGCAATGCCAGCAGAGCTGTCCTCATGTGGCTCCGTGACAAAGGCAGCGTGCAGCTCTGAGCTGCAGATTGTTGCATTGAACGTGATTATGGCAGAACTAAGAAAAGGAAAAATAAAAGCTAGAAAGCTCTGCTTTGGCCATGTAAGAGCTGAAAAGCCCCAGTGGTTCCCAATGCAGTGTCTTGTGTATTGGCTGGTGGGGATGCGAGACTGGCAGCTCAGCGGCTGTATGCAAAGCCCCCAGTAGCCAGACTTAACCTTTGATCACTCCTGGCTCCTGGGCAGATGTCTGGGGCTTAGGGAAAATGCTTTGCTTATCTCACTTCCCGCTGTCCTGAGACAAAGCCGCAGGCGCTGGGTGCTGGGCACCTCCCCAGTGCCCTGTGCCTGGACAGAGCAGCTCTGCAGGTAGGATGCTGCTGTGCACAGAGCGCCGTGGGAGCGCTGCAAAGACCTGGCTGAAGCGGCACAGAGCTTCCTACATCCCCTCCTTCTGCAGCTGTCAGCTGGTGAGGGGCCGCACAGCGCTTCCCCTCCAGCAGAGACCAGAGGACAGTCCCTGGGCTGAGGGCTGCGGTGGGAAAGACACCGGTGGCCTCGAGGGCTGATGTGACACTTCTGTGTTCCCATGGCGCGCAGCGGCACATGCTTGACAGGGATGTTTTTGTGCTGAGGTGGCTGAGGATGAAACGAGTGCCTGGAGCTCTTGCAGTGAATACGATTGCAGAGCAGCGGTATCTTTA